CTCTTTCCCTCTTTCCTTCTCCCTTTCTCTCCCTCTCTCTCTTTCTCCCTTTCTCTTTCCTTCTTTCCCTCTTTCTCTCTTTCTCTCTTTCCCTCTTTCTCTCTTTCCGTCTTTCCCTCTTTCTCTCTCTTTTCCTCTCTTCCTCTCTTCCTGAGAGACTCTTCCAGTGCCTAAAGGGGCTCCAGGAGAGCTGGAGAGGGACTGGGGACAAGGGATGGAGGGACAGGACAAGGGGGAATGGATTTAAACTGAGAGAGAGCAGCTGGAATTAGATATTGGGAAGAAACTCTTCCCTGTGAGGGCAGTGAGGGGCTGGGATGGAATTCCCAGAGAAGCTGTGGCTGCCTCTGGATCCCTGGAAGTGTCCAAGGCCAGGTTGTTCCAACCTGGGCTACTGGAAGCTGTCCCTGCCCATGGCAGGGGGTGGAATGAGATGATCTTTAAGGTCCTTTCCAACCCAAACCATTCTGTGGTTCTATGAATTCCTGCTGTCAGCAGCCTAAAGACGCCAAATTTGGATGTTAATTTGACAGACAGACATTTCCTCTTCCTGTATAGCCAAAAATACTTCCCCAGCTCCATTGCAGTTCTCTCAAAATCATTGTGTGAAAGAGGAATCCCCTCCCCACTTCCCATTTCTCTGGAAACACTGCACTGGGTGCTCTGAGCTTCGGCTCATGAGTCACCATCACTTGCAGTGTGAGATGGGGAAACAATGATTGTGTGAAATATAGAAATAATAACCGTGTCAAATAGAAAAATAACAGTTATATGAAATATGATGATTACATGCTAGAAACTAGAGTTTATTTTTATGGATGTGCTATTCCTGATTTACAACAGGTCCTTGAGGATTTGTAGGCACAGCTTCCCCCTCTCTTTCTCTCTCTTTATTTCTCTCTTTTTTCCTTCTCTTTCTTTCTTTGTCTTTCCATCTCTCTCTTTCTCTCTCTTTCCTTCACTCTTTCTCTCTTTCTCTCTCTTTTTCTTTTCCTCTCTTCCTCTTTCCCTCTTTCCATCTTTCTCTCTTTCTCCTTTTCTCTCTCTTTCTCTTTCTCTCTCTCTCTTTCTTTCTCTCTTTCTCTTTCTTTTCCTCTCTTCCTCTCTTTCCCTCTTTCCTTCTCCCTTTCTCCCTCTTTCTCCCTTTCCCTCTTTCTCTCTTTCTCTTTCTTTCTTTCTCTTTCTCTTTCCCTTTCTCTCTTCCTCTCTTCCCTTCTCCCTTTCTCTTTCTCCCTTTCTCTCTTTCTCTCTCTCCCTTTCTCTCTTTCTCTTTCTCTCTCTCTTTCTTTCTCTCTTTCCTTCTCTCTTTCTCTTTCTCTCTCTTTTCCTCTCTTCCTCTCTTTCCCTCCCTTTCTCTTTCCCTCTTTCCCTCTCTCTCTCTCTCCTTTGCCCAAGACACCCAGATAGCAGTTCTGGTGTTACTCACGTGGTCCAAAGGCAGCCTTGCACTGGCTGTCCCTGGTGGGGCACTTGCCCATGTAGCAATACCCCTCTCCATAGTTGCAGGGGTGCCCGTTGACCCGGAATCGATCCGTGGGGCAGCTGGCAGAGTTCCCAGAGCACATCTCAGCCAGGTCACAGTCGTCCTTCACTGCCCTGCAAACTGCTCCTGACTTCTTAAACTGAGGGAGGGGAGAGCAAAGCCACCCTTAGCACAGGGCCCCTCCACAGGGCTGGAAATCACACTCAGCCAGAGCTGGAATTAGGGCAGAAAAATCTCGTCCTGGCTGTGCAGGTTGTGTGAGGAGCAGCATCACCCCCAGGGTGGGTGGGCACTGGACCAGGGACAGCACCCAGGGAATGGCTGGAGCTGTGCCAGGGCAGGGTCAGGTTGGATCTCAGGACAAGGTTCTTCCCCCAGAGGCTGGTTGGGCACTGCCCAGGCTCCCCAGGGCAGTGGGCACAGCCCCAAGGCTGCCAGAGCTCCAGGAGGGTTTGGATGATCCTCTGGGGCACAGGGGGTGACTCTGGGGCTGGGCCTGTGCAGGGCTGAGGGTTGGACTGGATACTCCTTGTGGGTCCCTTCCAACTCAGCACATTCTGGGATTCTGGGATTCTGGGACCTGCATCTCCTTTAACATTGGTTATGACACTTGACAAGGAGAAAATGGGTGATCCAAGAGCTCATTTCTCCAGGATGTTGGAAGATTGAGGGAATTGTTTGCTGTGGGGTTGTTTGGGGTGGGCTGGTGAGCTGTGACAGGACCTGAGGGAATGGCTGGAGCTGTGTCAGGGCAGGGTCAGGTTGGATCTCAGGGAAAGGTTCTTCTCCCAAAGGGAGGTTGGGCACTGCCCAGGCTCCCCAGGGCAGTGGGCACAGCCCCAAGGCTGCCAGAGCTCAGGAGTGTTTGGACAACACTCTCAGGGACAGGGTGGGATTGTTGGGGTGTCTGTGCAGGGTCAGGACTTGGACTGTGATCCTTGTGAGCCCCTTCCAGCTCAGGATATCCCATGATCCCATGACGTGCCATGTCAGTAAGTACAAGTGAAGGGGATTGATCCTATGGAAAGCTGTCCCTGCTCTCTCCAGGAAAGGCTGGATGGGGAGGGGTCTCACCTGGCAGTTCTCACAGCACTCCCCGTGGGCACAGACAGAGCCCGAGGTCAGCTTGCAGGTCTCGGGGTCACAGCAGTCGTTGGTGCACTCCTGGGACAGAACAACAACCAGAGCTCTGGGACCTGCCACCACCCCCTGCCCCGGGCTGGCACGGGGGGCTGGGACCTCCATTTCCCAAGGAGCCATCCCAGCCCTGGGGATGCTGATCAGAGAATTAGAGAATCCCAGAATCAGCTGGGTTGGAAGGGACCTCTGAGATCATCAAGTCCAACCCTTGATCCAACCCCACCGTGGTTCCCAGCCCATGGCACTGATGCCACATCCAGGCTCAGCTTAAAAACCTCCAGGGATGGAGAATCCACCCCTTCCCTGGGCAGCCCATTCCAATGGCTGAGCACCCTCTCTGCAAAGAAATTCTTCCTAATCTCCAACCTAAACCTGCCCTGGCACAGCTGAAGCCCGAGCCCTCTTGTCTTGCTGATGGTTGCCTGGGAAAAGAGCCCAACCCCCAGCTGGCTCCCCCCTCCTGTCAGGGAGTTGCAGAGAGTGAGGAGGTCTCCCCTGAGCCTCCTCTTCTCCAGGCTGAACAGCCCCAGCTCCCTCAGCCTCTCCTCACAGCACTTGTGATGGTGGAAGTTGGGCAGGGAACTCTCTGAGCTGGTGACATTGGGGTGGCTCTGTGGGACTCTCAGTTCCCGTGTCCCCAGAGCCCCACAAACCAGGATTTGCCTCCTCCATCCCACCCCCGGGACACCGCGGTTGGTGACCACAGAAATCCTTCAGCTAAATTTGAGCTCCCTGCCCCAGGGAGGGACGGAAACCAGCCTGAGCGAATCCCTTTGCCTTTTCCAAGGGATATTTCATTCCCAGGTACCTCAGGAGTGCCACAGTCGCATTCCTCTCCTCTCTCCACGAAGCCATTCCCGCAGGCCGGGGGGGCGATGATGCTGCTCACGTCGGGAATGTCGGTCAGGCACTCGGGCATGTCGTTCAACATGAACTTCTCAAAGCTTTGGAGGCTGCACGAGCTGAATTCCTTGGGAATGAAGGAACTGGAGGGAGAAATCCGGAGGATTTACGTTAGGATTGGTATAGGAAAAGAGGAGAAATCCCCTTTGTGAGAGAAATACAGTGGGAGAAACTCACTTGTGAGTTCTCCCTTGTGAGAGAAATCGGCCAAGTGACCATCCCCAAAAACCAGCTGCAAGCATTTCTCCAAATGTCTCTATTGATAAATAAAGACAGCAGAGGAAAAATAATAAAGAAGAAGAATGAAACGAAAAAATAAATGAATAAAATATATAGGGGGGAAACGCGCAAAGGAAATTTAAGATACGAAAAATGAAATGTGAAACTAAAATTAAGAAAGAACTCTAGAAATAAAAAATAAATAATAAAAAAGTTAAAAATAAAATAATAAAATAAAAAATAAAAATAAAATAATAAAATAAAATAAATAATAATAAATAATAATAATAAAATAAAATAAATAATAAAATACTAAAATAAATAAATAAAAATAAAATAATAAAATAATAAAATGATAAAATGATAAAATAATAAAATAATAAAATAATAAAATAATAGAATAATAAAATAATAAAATATAAAAATAATAAAATAATTAAAATAATTAAAATAATAAAATAATAAAATAATAAAATAATAAAAATAATAAAATTATAAAAATAATAAAATAATAAAGTAAAATAGTAACGAAATAATAAAAAATAAATATTAAAAAATCTAGAAATGAAATTTGGTAGGTGAAAATGAAATATTCAAATAAAAATAAAAAGTAAAAACCTACAAATAAAATCAAGAAAGGAAAAATAAATAGAGCTCTGACTGAGACTCCACAGCAGTTTCACGTTATAAAGATGAAATTATGTTTTAATATAAAGGCTTCTACCACGCATGGAACACCAATGTTACCCCAAAAGTCACTAAAGTTTGGGGTTTTTTCACTTGGTTGTTTTTTGGGGGGGGGGCAGCCATAATCTGGGAATATCCTACAACAGCCTGAAATATCTTCATTTTTCTCCTTTTTTTTTTTTTTAAAAAATATTTCAAATGGCATAACCTCCGAGGCCAAAAACATTCCGATTTTTTTGGAACCGGGACGTTTCTCTGCACCCTTTTAAAACCCCCCCCTTTTTTCCCCCCGCCCCGAGGGTATTTGTGCCCCTTCACCTGACGGTGTCTGTCATGATGCAGACGTCGGTGCCGCACGAGCAGGCCTTGGTGTCGTGGCTCATGCCCAGGTTGTGCCCCATCTCGTGGGCCATCGTGGCGCCCACGGCGATGACGTTCCTGCTGTGGTCCTGCGGGGACAAGGACGGGCTGTTGGGAGCGGTTGGGAACAAGGAGAACCCCAAGGGAGAGAAGAATCCACTGGAGTTGGCTCGCTGCTGCAGCTCGTGGGGCTCCGTCCCTGTGTGCAGCTATTCTAGAGATCTGTCTAGATATATCTAGAATAAATATAAATGTGGATAGAATAAATATAGAA